TATATTAATATGTACAACTAAAATTACTAATAAAGATATGAGCAAGGCCTCACCTTAACACCAAAAAAAAAAAATAAAAACTTAAACTCTAAACTGGTCTACTCCTAGCCCTATAAATCTATAAAATATCATTATCTTCTCATTTTAATTTGTTTAATAATGCAATTGCTTTTTCATAATTAAGATTAGCAGCTAATTTTAACCTGATTCAAAATATTTAGTAAAAGTAAGTTTTTGAGAAATACATAATCAAAATTATCAAAGAAGCAAAGTTCATAATACCAATAACCTGAATTAATATGAATTCGATTCATAACTATAACCCAACTCATAGAATACTTCAATGGCTTCAGTAAACTCAATTCACCAAGAATTAATATCATTATAGGCCCTAATTTCGAAAGTACTTGATTAAATATATCTAATTCACAATACCCAAAGATTCCTCAATAAGCCTATTATATAGTACTAGCAACTAATTAAACTAAATAACCTGATTCAAAATATTTAGTAAAGTAAGTTTTTGAGAAATGCATAAACAAAATTGTCAAAGAAGCAAAGTTCATAATACCAATAACCTGAATTAATATGAATTCGATTCATAACTATAACCCAACTCATAGAATACTTCAATGGCCTCAGTAAACTTAATTCACCAAGAATTAGTATCATTATAAGCTTTAATTTCGAAAGTACTTGATTAAATATATCTGATTCACAATACCCAAAACTTCTCAATGAGCCTATTATATACTACTAGTGACTGATTAAACTAAATAACTTGATTCAAAATATTTAGTAAAAGTAAGTTTTTGAGAAATGTATAATTAAAATTATCAAAGAAGCAAAGTTCATAATACCAATAACTTGAATTAATATGAATTCGATTCATAACTGTAACCTAGCTCATAGAATACTTCAACAGCCTCAGTAAACTAAATTCATACAAGAAATTAGGTATCAGAAAAATAAAGTTGAAAGTACTTTGTATTTAAGTATATATATGTATTTAGTAAATAATAAAAAAAATACATATGTATTTATATAATAAAAGGTAAGATTTTCAAAGAATTAACTGGATTAACTGCGGATTGCCTGGATCAATCTGTATTTCAGATTAGTTTTGAATCGTTGGGCCTAATCCTGGATTAACTATCAGATTGGCCTCAGATAGGTCCTGGATCAATCCATATTTTGGATTTGGATCAGATTCGGATCAATCCTGGATCAACCAGGATTATTAATCCATATTGAAACACTACCTCTAACCAGTTTGATTCTCCATCCTAAAATAAATAAAATGATGATTAAAATACTAAAAATAAACTCAATTATATGATAAAAAATAGTCATCTGAATAATATAATTGGTTATTAGAACTGAAATAAACAATATAATGGTTTCAAATGAATTGAAAAACAAACTTATTTGTTGATTTATAATCCAACCCAATATTACCAAAATTGGTGTAATTAATAATGAGACTTGCTAGCAAATAAAGAATCACAATTTTTGAGAAAGGATATTAAATCTAAAAATTTAATAAACTTAACTTACTATAGAAAAACCAACAGCTATACTAATTGCTATATTCATTTTATCTTTTCTTGCTGCAATAACAGCGGTAATATGCTACAAAACATTTTCTATTATAAAAATGGTTTAATAAAACATAATAATATAAATAATACCTCAGCAGCATTTCCAATGATTGGCAAAATTATTAATCCAATGAAAGTTTCTGTAAAACCAAGAGTTTTAATCACTCCTTCAAATGAATTAACTAAAAAATTAGAAGATAAAGAAATAAGACCAGTTATGATGAATAAAAAAATTATAGAAGATATAAGAGGTAATTGTGGCTCTTCAGCTTGCTCCTCATCTTGGATCAAACATTGTTCCTCATTATACAAGTGTGAATGCATTTTTAATTGAAATAATAAATAAAGCATATAAGCTAATAACAATATTATTGCAGTTTCACGAGATAATGCTAAAGTTTCTTTATTGTTATTGCTTAAAGAAATATTAAATGTAGCAGGAATTAATGCCTCCTGCAAGAAAACATGTTCCTAACACTAATAAAATGTTTGAAATAATCAATCCTAACATTGAAGACTGAACTATTTTTATTTCTTCAGCACACAAAGCAAAAATAGAAATGATTAATTCTGTTGTATTACCAAAAGTAGCATTTAATAACCCCGTGAAAGCTGGATTAACTTTTAAAGAAATATCCTTAGTGACAAAACTTAACAATTTCACTAAGGGAATAATTGCTAAGCAATTAAAAAAGAAAATGCATCCTGAAGGCCAATTAAAAATATAAGCAATAATTCCTAATGAGATGAATATTAATAATAAATTGAGTAAAGATAATCTGAGAATAATACTAAATAAGCGAAAAATCTGTAAAAAATCACAGAGAACATTTTGGTGATGAAATGTAACTATATTATAAACGTATTTCTTTGAATAATCAACCTATAAATATTTCAATAAGAAGACTAATATTGAAGAATTTAGTTGTGAATAATTTGGTATAACAACTAAATATGTTATTTAATAATGATAACAATAATTTCAAATCACAATACAGTATATCAATTTAAACCCCAAAAGGAAATTAAATAAATATTTATAATATCAGACCAATTTTACTTGGTTATAGATGTTAATACAGAAAAATTAATCATAGCAATATAGAATTTAAACCTATAATTGCTCGATTAACGACCATTTCGATGTAGTAGAGATGTAGAGATGTGATCCGTAAATTACAATACATATAAATAAAGTGTAGTTTATTTTAAAACTATTAGTTTTACAATAAACTACAATTTATTTATATTAACTAATAGTTTACGGATCACATCTCTAATGTAGAGGTGTGAACTTAACTATTAGTAATAAACTAAATAAATAGAAACACAATTTATGACATTTGTTTTTTTATAAATTTTTGCATTTCCTTTTATTTATACAATAAAACAGTAATAATTCTGGACAATCCTAATTAAGCCAATACATCGCTATGGCGATAAAAAATAAAATCCAAAAAAAAAACAATAAATATTTAAATAAGTTATAAAAGCCTTCACTATCGTTTAATTTTCTGTTAGCAGCAGTTTATCCATTATTTTGATTTGATGTGGTTTAAACAATATATTTGACGTTCTTCTTTTACACCCATTATTTTCAACTTCAACATTTGAACCTAGTTTTATTAATTAGTTTATAAGTCAATAAAACAATTTTAGATTCTCAGTCAGAAAATAAATAGATAAATAATTATAACCTTGTTTTTCTGAAGTTTTTATCGATTTTATGCCCTCTTCTTTTTCTGCTTTCTTTGTTTTCAAAATTTAGATCTATTTTATTGAGATTATTCAAATTAATTAATAACTAAACTTTGTTAGATGCCGCAAATGCTGAAATTCTGCTATTAAAACCATATATCCTAGCCTAGCCTCATAGACAGAAGTTTGTCTGATTGGCTAATAAATTCAATTTAATTTTACATTATTTATACAGTTTAGAGTACTTTTTTAAAAAAAAACGAAAACTAATCATAATGAAATAAAAAAGCTGTATAGAACTCTGTAGCCAAAAATAAGATCTAATTCTCGTCCGTTTAAAAAGTTAATATAGTAATAACTTCTCAAAACCCGACAAAATCAACTTATTACTAAGCCAACTTTTTTAAACGGACGAAATTAGATCTTATTCTTGGTTACGGAGTCCTACAGCTCTAGTGAAACCTTCTATACAACTTTTTTTTATTTCATTATGATTAGTTTTCGTTTTTTAAAAAAGTACTTTAAACTGTATAAATGAGTGCGTGAGAGTGAAAACCTGGAAACACATTTAATGATTTAATATGATTGGTTACAGGTTTTCACTCTCATGCACTCAAATAATGTAAAATTAAATTGAAGCCTAGCCCTTAAAAACGCCTCAAAAAATTTTATTCTTATTAAAATAGGTCCAAATTTGATGTTTATTTTTATATTCTAAATGAAAATTAAGCTTTAAACTTTAAAGTATAATATCAAGAATTTTTTTTAGAGAGTTTGCAATTTCCGAAAAATGGCGTTAAAAATGAATAATCGTTTGCAAAATAAAATGCATACACTGACAGCGGACAGCGAGTGCTAAGTCATCTTTAACATCTTCCCAGAAACATTTATCTATTTTTTTCGAATTAATTCTCTAAGTCCATATATCAATTATTGAGATATTACCGTTTTAAAGGCCAAAGTTTATTATATGAAGTATGAATAACAAATGTCAAGTACCTTTCTCTTCGAAAGTTTTTTCACTTTGTAAAATATCCATTTCTTGTTCTATTTCATCAGGTTCTATTTAAAATATACACTATTAGTTTAATGTTCGATAAATGCCCGTTAAATTCAATCGATCATGGATATTTCCTATCTGAGCTGATTTATAAGAAATGAAATGAGGTATACATAATCAAAAATCGTACATACGTACTACAACGTATGTAAATTTCTAATTTAGCATCAGAATAATGAAGACTGCTTTTTCCATATCGATATCATTTCGATTGTCAAGTGACTCAATTTTTTGGAGTCAACTTAAAAAAGCTTGACTAAAAGTCAAATTAAAGATGGCTAATCGGATCACTATCATCAGGATTAGGAATTAAAGCAGCTTGACATTTCAAATTACTGTTATATACCCCATATCATACTGATCTAAACTTATTGTGCTTAACCAAGAAATATTGGTAATGTCGGTACAAGTCACTCGCTATGGTGAACTGATCGGGCTTTGATTAATTTGATTAACACATTTTTTAATATTATACCCAAGGTTTATAAATATAACTTGAGCTCACATATCACAACTTTTCCAAAATGAAAAAAAAATAAAAATCCTGAAAAAAGTTTGTAGTTAAATTAAGAATCTATCAAATTTTTAGGACTATTATTTTAGCTTGTTTTAAAAAAGTTTTAATAAAAGCGACGGTACTAGTAACGTAAATAAAATAAATCTAATCCTTCGAAAATCATAAAGATTAATACAGTTACCTTTAAGCAATTCATTCAATAACCTACTTATATTAAAAGCATGCTTATGTGTATTTGGAACTGAATAATAGTTTAAATTATATACTTTCAATAACTCGTTATAATACTCCTCATTTAGAATGATTTTTCCATATTCTTCTTCAATTGAATAATAAAGTTTTTCAGCTGTCGGCCTTTTTGAAGGGTCTTCATTCCAACATTCTTGAATTAAATTTTTAAAAAATTTTGATATATTCGGTAACATAGGTGGCCTTTCTCCATCACAAATAGCTAAGGCTAAATGACTTTCATGCGGTCTATCGACAAATGGCGGAAATCCAGAAAATATCTCCCACATTAACATTCCGAAGCTATAAATATCTGATTCTTTTGAAAATTCCCCTTTTGTTAACCTCAACAATTCTGGTGCCATATAGGGCATAATACCGTAGATGTTATTCAATAATTTATCATCAACTGGTCCACACATTCCTAAATCTCCCATAAAAGCTTCCGCACCGTCATATATTAAAATATTACCGCTATGTAAATCTTTGTGTATTAAATTTTCTTTGTGAATTTCATTAAGGCATGCACTTATATCATAAATAAATCGAATTTTTTGCTTTAAACTAAGTGTTGAATTATTGTTTTTTAAATATTCTCTTAGATTCCCATCTTTAATGTGTCTCATAACTATCATATATTTATTTGTGTCTGGTTTTTTTGTTACTCCATAAAAACAAGCAAAATGTCCTCTTAACATTCTATTACCATTTTCAACCTTAGAGTAGTGATCAATAAAATTAGTAAATAAAATTAGTAAATAAAATTTCAAACCGAACGGTTATTTTCACACCCTTTTGATATTGCTACATTTTTGTGAATTTAATCCATCTAAAATCCCAATGCTCACAAAGGTTAATCCTATTAATCACAAGTCTGAAAAAAATTTTAAGGGACTCGACGGTTTTAGAAATTGGATGCATATAACATCGTTTCATTCTCCGGTTCTTATTTATACTTCTATAGTCTGAATATCTGATTCGAGCTAATCCAAGGCCTTTATATATACAGTATTTATATATATATTATGATCTTTTTTTTACTTTTTCTAGCGATATAAAAATTTTCAAACCGGTAGATTTGCTAACGGAAAGTAAAAGTTGCTGACTAAAGGAATGAAAACGTTATGACCGTAATATAATTAAACTTTTTAAATGTAAAAATAATACAGTCAAACATTTCTAAATGCACAGTATAACCTGGCCCATCTCATAAGAGCTCTATATATTTTACTCTCTATAAATGGACACACTCTAAATGTACATTTCAATTTTTTTTTCATTACTGTCCCCAAGGGTGTGTATTTGTAGAGGCATGACTTTATAGCGCTAGAAGTATAATAAGAACCGGGAAATGAATCAATTATTTCGAGCGTGATTTAATTATTACTACGTATGCCTAAGTTGTTGCTTGTGATCAGCTAATCGCATTTGTATGTCTATTCTAAGTTTATTTTCAAATTTTCCAGATCGGTAGAATTCAAAATTATCAAAAATAACTGATATGCTTAAAAATTAGGCAACTAAATTATAAAATTTAACCGAAGACATTTTAAGAATAACCTGGGCATTGGCAATGATGAAGGAGATCTATTGGTTACAATTATAGATGCTGGTGAAACTGGTGACTATCTAAAATCTGATTGGTTGGTGAATGAAATAGCCAATCAAATTTTAGATAGTCCCCAGTTTCACCAGCATGATTTAGTTTCACCAGCATCTATAGTTACAATGCTTTCATGTACTAAATCATCATCAAAGGCGAATTTGCTCATCATCGAGCCTTTTCATTTTTAGCGTCCAGCATGTGTGTATAAATTTGGAAACAATTTTTAGTTGGCGCTAAACCAAATAAAGGGTTACTGTCTCCATAATATATGACTGCTGAAAAGGCCATTATTAAAAGACCCAGCCTAAATAAACTATTGCGTTCTGTTCCTGATAGGAATCTAAAAACCCATATAATAAGTTATAGTAATGTAGTATTTTAGAGGTTTCTTATCAAGAACAGTATGTACTGTACATATTATACGTACATACGCACCTTTTTTTGAGTTTTAAGGACAAGAAACCCGGTGATAATTACATAGTGTCAGAGGTAAAACCGTCAAGCCGAAAAATCCGAAAAAATGATCGTCATAGTGGCCTACTTGACTAATCGGTAGTGCCCATGACGATCCACTTGAAACATATGCGCCCGGCCCCGATAACGCCATATGAAAGTACACAAGCCTCCATGCGGGACCCAACCACCCCCTCCAATTAAAGTAAGGTCGACCTGGACCAAC